GTTGAGCACCATTGATAAAAACACTTCAGACAAAAAGGGAAAGACAGCCTCGGAATTAAAAAAAAAAAAAGGATACGTAATGATCGCACTTAAACAACTTGTCTCCTAACTTGAGACACCACCACTCTAATTGATAAATCATAGCCCTTTGACAAGACAGTCTAGGGTCAGAGATCATTCATAGGTCATCATTACACCCCAGGCACCACCCTCTTCCACATCAAGTACTGTAACTTGAAGAGATCGAGGCTATTTAGTGCTGGAGCTTCATATATGAAAGAGGTCATTTTTCTCCCTAAGGCGGACTTGAAAATTAAGAGACTTTAGAGATTTTGGATTACTCAGCTCATACCAATTTTTTCTAATCTCACCAATATTGTAAAAACCTCATTTTACTCAATAAAATGTGGGGAATTGGTGCAGTTTGGACATTTTAATCAGGATCGAATATCTCGAATTGGAACCATAAGTTTGGGTCCGATTCCAAAAAAAATTAGAAAACAAGAATCGAACCAGTTCCGTACAGTTCTTGGTTTCAAATCGAAACCATGGATATATGATTTTGGAATCGATCTTTTTTTTTTTTTTGACAATATGTGAACTCTTATTCAATGATCCTGCCCAACAAGTACCATGTACCCTAATCAATCAGATTCATTAATTTTTTAAACTATATCATTCTCGCTTGTTGAGGTGCCGCACAAAGAGCCACAAAAGGAATTTAATGTTATTCTACTGGATACTTGATGCTATTTGGTAGTATATTTACAATGGATTAAGAAAGTGTGTGTGTATTTACAATGTTAATCTTGCCAACTGTAGGTACAACACTTGCAAAGAAAGTACGACACTTTTAATCTGCAATCCAGATGACTGTAGTTTGAAAATCAAATCTCAATACAATTATAATAGATGGCCATTTACAGAGGTAAACAATTTCTAGTAATGGAAACTGCTTGCTCAGTACATGTTGTAATGCCAATTTTATTTCAATCTTCTCTCCATTTCAGTAAGGTAATTTTAGCATACAGATTAAGTGTCTTCAAGCAGCTTTCCAAGTTGACAAAGGAGGAGTGTCTGAATGCTCCCACGTACCAAAACCAGGACCATATCTATCACCCTTGACTGCATCAGCTGAAGCAATAGATTCGAGTTCAGCCATGTCTTCCTTCGTCAGTTTTACAGACAATGCTTCAATGTTTTTAGTAAGATTCT